TCTATTTGCTCCTAATAGTACAAAAACTAGGAGTCACTCAAAATTAATGAACAAAAAGTATGTTTATATATATGTCTGAATTTTATTCTTTAGTTTCAACAAGTCTGCCTGGTACTCAAGTCAGGCTTACCAGCCTCTAAATGCCACAGTCACTGCCAGGGCCCTTTTTAAAAATTGGCATTACATTAGCTATCTTCCAGTCGTTTATTATAGAAGTTGATTTGAGTTACTTCAGAAATTGTATGTGAATGCCATCTGCTCCTAGTGACTTATAACTATTTAATTTATCAGTTTGTTCCAAAACCTCAGTGTGGGACAGTCTCTCCGATTTGTCACCTAAAAAGAATGGTACAGGTTTGGGACTTTCCCTCAGTTCCTCAGCAAAGAAAGCATTTAGTTTCTCTGTAATCGCCTTATCATCCCTGAGTGCTTCTTTACTATCTCAATCGTCCAATAGCCCTACTGGTTGTTTAGCAGGCTTCCTGCTTCTGATGTACTTAAAAATGTTTTGAGTCTTTGGACAGCAGATCTTTTTTTGTCCTTGCTAATGATATTTTTACATTTCCCTTGCCAGAGTTTCTGCTCATTTCATTTTCCTCATTAGGATTTAACCTCCACTTTTTAATGGATGCCTTTTAACCTGTAGCTTACAAACCGTTATTTGCTTTATTTCAGACTATCAAAATGATATTTGCTTTAGTTAAGTAATAGTTTATTATTTTATCCTTATTTTCCTTTTTATAGATTTTAAATATGCTGGTAATTCAAGGGGTTTACAGAATTCAGGTTCTGTAAGATGGCTGATGGCAAAAGACATAAGTGGTGAAATATATGCCCTGTTTGTGTAATTTTCCATAAAGGGGTGAAGCAAGAATTTGCGGTCAGCACATGTTTATTTTTTGAATCCTACCCAGAATTTATGGCATAAATCTGCTAACCTGACAGTTATGAACATTTCAATCTCTTTGTGCAATAGCAACAGATGGAGACTTATAGACCGCAGCTTCCCGCGCTTTCTTTGTGGTATAAGAACATAAGAACGGCCGTACTGGGTCAGACCAAAGGTCCATCTAGCCCAGTATCCTGTCTACCGACAGTGGCCAGCACCAGGTGCCCCAGAGAGGGTGGACCGAAGACAACGATCAAGCGATTTTGTCTCCTGCCATCCCTCTCCAGCCTCTGACAGACAGAGGCCAAGGACACCATTTTATCCCCTGGCTAATAGCCTTTTATGGACCTAACCTCCATGAAATTATCTAGCTTCTCTTTAGACTCTATTATAGTCCTAGCCTTCACAGCCTCCTCTGGCAACGAGTTCCATAGGTTGACTACACGCAGTGTGAAAAAGAACTTTCTTTTATTAGTTTTAAACCTGCTCCCCATTATAGGGGCAGCATCCAAGAAAGATCAGTCACCCATAATAAATATTCATAAGATTACCCAAAGATCTCTTCCAATCAATGACGGTACCATCAGAAATCTTGGGGTATTAGGCCCAGTTATGGAAAAGGGGTGGTATATCTAGAACACTTTGGCACCAAAAGGGGAATTTAGGCCTAGTGATTCAGGGGATCTGGGCTACGAAATCAGCGCACAGCTGAGAAGCAGTCCGCCTTGAGATGTTTTCTTATAAGGTCAGAGAAACTAAGAACTTAGATCTATTTTCTCCCTCTTGTAACAGCTTTCTTCCTTCCTTTAATCTTGCTTAAGCCTGCTTTTAGGAATCTTACTAACACTTGCTCCCAGGTCTTCCAGGGGAAGGGAAGCCACTCTTCTCCATCCAGCCTTGGGATCCTTGTGTGTATAGGAATTGTTATTACTCTTTGTAGATAAGTTTTAAGTTGACTGTGCTAATGACATCTGGGGAAGGAATTCACGTGATCTGTGTTCTTACTATTGTTTTTGCTGTGGTGATCATAATCATTATCCCATTATCAATAAAGCTGTTTTCTATTTCATTCTCGGAGTTAAGGTGTGATTGCTGTCCATCACCTGTTGACCCTCAAGAGAGAGAGCTTTGTGGTTCCACTGAACTGGGTCCACTGAACCTGGGATAGAGGACGAACTTAGATCTTTTCCTGATCAGATTGGTGAGTCTTAGCCATCCACATTTTACTAAACTCATTCCCAGGCTACAAGCCTCTGACTGTTTCTTTTACTTTGTTATGTAGCCACTGTGGCACTTTTTTGGTTTTCTTTTTATGATTTTTTAAAATTTGGGTTATACAGATAAATGAACAACATGTGTTTGAGGCTTAAGAACGCTTTCACTTCAGATCTGATGAAATGCAAAGAAGTTACCAATATGAAATGTCTAAAGATAGAACTCTCCACCCAAAGTTTTAGAAACTAAAGTGCCTTCCAAAATCCGAGAGACGCGATGTGTGGCATGCTTTCATAAGTCTTAAAAAAGCAACGCTGTGATGTGGAAAATTATAGAATCAAACCCACCAACACAGAAAATCAATCTTCTGTGGATAGCATCTGATTCAAATGATGAAAATGAAAATCTGTCATGTCAGTTCATACTGCTCTGGATCATTGAGCAGAACCTGTCATGAACATGGACCGAGGTCCTCTAAAATGGTGACTGAAGCATGAATGAATATTTGCATCTTTAAAGGCATCTAGAATTCAAATATCTTGCAACTCTGGCTACAAGAGTCCCATGCAAATGCTTTTCAGGTGACATTGTAAATAACACATGGGCAATAGAATCTCCAATAAGTTCAACTTTCATGATAAAGAGATTGCACTATAGTAATTGTAAGGGGAAAATGGAAAAATACTATTTCTTTTGTTTTTCAGAGTACAAGTATTTGTAATAAAAATAAATATAAAGTGAGCACTGTACACTTCATAATCTGCATTGCAATTGAAATCAATGTATTTGAAAATGTAAAAAACAACAAAATATTTAAATCAAATGGTATTCTGTTATTTAACAATGATTAATTGTGAAATTAATCATGATTTTTTTAATAACTTGATAGCTCTTGAGATAAATGAAGCCTATGTAAATGGCTTTTTTTTACATTCTTTGTATTACTCTTGTAGTTGTGTCAGTGAGAAGATCATGTTGATAGTGCACCTTTTTGCTCTGAAACCACTCTTTGTTTCAGGATAGATTCTGTCTGCAAGGGTCTGAAATCTGTTCAGGAAAACTCGGGCAATGTGGCTGCTGTCCACAATTCAGGTATTATGCTGATGTAAGAGAACAATCTGTACTAACAGTCACTTCTCTGCTGGGATCTGTGCATCAGGAACTAATCACAGAACAAGAGTTAAATGGCTCACATAAGCCAAGTTCAATAAATAAGAGGGTCAGAGTGAGAGACAAAGGCCAGAGACCAGAGATAGTACCAAACTAGAATTAGGAAGCAGCAGCAGAGTCAGAGAACAGAAATAATACCAGGCCAGAATCAGGAGGAAAAAGTCAGGATCAGAGTCAGGATGGGATCAAAAGACCAGGTGAAATCTGGGGTGACAACAGCCAAAGTCTGAGGTTTCCCAGACAACTTTCTGGGCCAACTCCTTAGGTTAGACAGAGCAGTTGGCAAATCAGAGAGTAACAGGGTACTGTCATTCCGTCTCACTTGGGTGGCACTTACTGTGGCAGCTACTTTCCACAGTGGTTCCTGGCTGGGGCTCTGCATGGTCTCCTAATGGCATTGTGGGAACATCAGACTCTGTAGACTCCGGTTTTAGTCCATAGACCCTTGCAGCTGATAAACGGAATAAAGTTTGGAGAAGAAACATGAGAAGGATTAAAAGATTAGAAAACCGGTTTTATAGTGAGAGACTCAAGGAGCTTAATCTGCATAGTTTAAAAAGAGAAGGTTAAATAGTGACTTAATTACAGTATATATGCATCTACACGGGGAAAAAATATTTAATAATGGTCTCTCTGATCTAGCAGGGAAAGTTATAAACACAGTCCAACAGTTAGAAGTTGAAGCTAGACATATTCAGTCTGCAAGGAGGCATTTTTTAACAGTCAGGGTATTTAACCATTGTAACAATTTACCATCGGTTATGATAGATTCTCCATCACGGACCATATTTAAATCACTATTGGATGTTTTTAAAATATATGTTGTAGGAAATTATAACTTTTGGGGGAAGTTCTGTAGCCTATGATAAACTGCAGGTCACATTTTATTATTATAATAGTCCCTTCTGGCTTTGGAGTTTATGAAACTTAATGGCATGCTTGCCCTTCAGGGGATCAGACCCTCCAGTCTTTACAAAAATGAGCCTAATGTATCATTTTAAAGATATGATGTCAAGTAAATAATGTGTGTTTAAAATTAGAACTCTCTCATATATCATTGTATACAGTAGGTTAAGTTTAAAATTTGCTTTTACCTTTTCACTGGTAGGTAAAATATTATTAGTTCCAACTGACATTTCCTTTGCAATTAAGTGTAATATTTATTCTGGTTTTCAAAAAGATCTAGAGCCTATGATACATAACAAACATTATAGAAAACTGATTAAATAAGTATTTTTTAGTTGAGAAAGCTGCAGGAAAATATTTGGGACTAAATGATGTCTTCTCATGGAAAAACATAAAGACAATCTTTGAAGTTATCCTCAGTAAATTTTCCTTCAGATTACTCCATCCATAGACAAATGGGGATTTTCCTTCCTCCTTGTTCAGAAACAGTTCCCTGGAACCTACAGATTCTCCAGGTTCATCTGTACCTCCGAGGCTTCTGGTTCACTCCACTGTCCTGCACAGGGAAAGGGATGTTTTTATTTCAGGGAAAG